TACACTAAAAAAAAGGGTGCTTAGGAGACAAAAAGGAGAGAAAAAATATTTTTATTAATTTCGGAATGTTCTCAGACATGCAGACAAGAAGTGTACTGCATATGTTTATTCTGAAAACCCTGTGAGTTATTTGTTGTTGTATAGATGGGCATTATATCTTAATATCTTTTACTTTTCCCTAAGGTAGTTATGATTTGGATATGAAGTGTTCCCACCAAAACTCAGGAGTTAATGTAGAAATGTTCAGAGGTGAAATAATCAGATTATGAGAGTAATAATCTAATAACTAGAATGGATTACCAAGTAGTAACTGTGACTGAAGAAAGAAGGTCATTGGGGGGTGTGCACTTAAGGTTTTTGTCTCTGTTCTCTCTCTCTCTCTCTCTCTCTCTCTCTCTCTCTCTCTCTCTCTCTCTCTCTCTCTCTTCTTCAGGCTATGATAAGCTGAGAAGCTTTGTTTTTCCCCCTCCAGACCCTTCTATCAGGATGTTTTCAAGTGGTGCCCAGAGCAATGAAAGTGGCTCTTCCTTAATTGAGATCCCTGATACTGTGAACCTAAAATAAAAATTTTCCGCTTCTGAGTTGTTCTTGTCCAGATATCTTGGTAACAGTGGTGAAAAGTGGACTAGCCAAGAAGGTATCATCCATATCTCATTAAATCTAACCATGTTCCCTAAGACACTTCCCAGTGTTGAGCCTCAGCAAAATCTAATAATTGATTTTAATATTCCCTAACAGAAACAGAACTTTGGATACACTTTTAGGAAGGAAGAGACATAAACACACCCAGCTCTCTCAAACCGCTTTCTGTCTTTCTCATTTACAGACCAGCTTCTGTACTTCAGTATTTAACTCAGATATAATCTCTTTCAGGATGTGTCGTTAACATTCTCTAACCCCCTTCCACAAGGGTAAGTCCTACATGATTTGGTACACACATTGGACAGGGTATCATCAACTTGTTGCATATGTGTTTATTTTCCTTTGCCATTATAGTTACTTATAGAATGATGGCAGAATAGTAGTTGAGAAAATCTATCTCTCCAGAGTAGAAACTCCTTATGGCTCTCCCAGGGAAATCTCCAGAGAATTCTTGATATTTAAAATTTTATGTTCACTGACAAGTCTTCCAAAACCTTATTCTCTCTCTACGTGACTTAGCAAGCCCCCTTTTGGGGCTCAGATTGAAATTTTTCTGTCTCCATCAGAGCTATTACCATCCTGGTTTCTAATGATCTACTTGCAAGTTCCCCCAACACAACTCTTTTGGGAGTAGTTTTATCTCAATCATCTTTAAATCCATGGCTCTTAGCAAAAGGCCTGATATATAATTAATATATGTTACAGAAATAAATATGAGAGAATCAAAAAAGAGGGGAAGCTAAACTATAAGAAACTTAAACAGTTTAAAACAGAACTGGTGGGCACAGTCCACTGGAAATCCCATTCCTCCATGACCACATATCTGAAATATTCTGAGACACTATCTTCATCTGACCCCTGGCAGGGATGGAGGTAAAACACTTGTGTTCAATTTTTTTTTAAATGCTTTTAACACCCACTGTTTCTGACTCTGAGTCCCGGAAAGCAAATGCATGCTCTCAGAAGGAATATTCAGCTCTCATCTATAAATGGTTCTCCACCCTCATACAGATAGGTCCCACTGGTAATTTAAAAGATTAATGCAGAGCAAAATCTTCCCTACGCAATGTGGGAGATGAAAGATGTAATGGGAGATTTTATTTCTCAATGGAAAAGAGAGCGTTCCAATGAGGACTTCTTTTTTCCATTCAGAGGTCCTTTGCAGAATGATATCCTTAATGTGAAGCAAACATTAGTAATGACTCTGTTCAAATGACACCTATTTATTAAAGAGTCTGTGGGCTCCAAATGCAATTTTATATGCAACTTAACCTCCACATACCACTAACCCTTAATGATACAAGTGACTCATTGCATACCTTAGCTTCCATAACTCAATTTGACCCCAAAATGGTATCTTAGATGGTGAAATTATTTTAATGTTTATATTTTGCTTATGAGTAAAAAAGATAGTTTATTATATATCATTATTTTTTATCAGATTTAAATATACACGATTGGATTCCAGTTTAATCTAAACTTCATGCCTTTCTTTCTCAAAAACTTTTCTGAAATTATTTTCCTTCCATCATTAGCTAAAGATATATGTAAAACTCTATCCTTAAGGTAAGAAGATTGTCAGGAATATTGAGGCTTTGTTAGAAATGTTTATTCTAAAAATAATTTTAATACTCAAAAATAAACATTTTCTTGGAAATATTTTCATCAAAAAGAGCTAAAAATAATCATGTATAATTTTCTGCATTAATATGTTTAGCAAAACTGCAAAAGCAATGGTTACTAATATAATCATTAATTGTAATAAATGTGAAACTAGGTTGTATACAAATATAATTTCTTCTAATATTTTGTTCACATAAAAACTCAAAATGGTGATTGAAGGGATTTTTGCATTAAGTTGACTAGGTTGGGGAGATATACAATAAAATATATTTTTAATATCTGGAGGCTTGAGAGGATGATGTGCCTGAAGAAATCAACAAAACACCACATATTAGTTTAGGAGTTCAGAGATAGGAATTTCCCAAGTGCCTGATTTTGTGGTCCCAAATTTCTCTACCACGTGCAGAAGCTCTGTGCATTTAGAATCCAGGGAGTTGTTAAATTTGAGAACGCAAGGCAATAACCCATAGCTTTGATGACACTAACATTAAGTGCAGCAGAATCAAATGTTTTATTGCAAATATGCACATCTGGTTTGTCTATTATGATTGTACATTCTAGAAGTTCATTTCATAAGGGATGTATTGGTTGCTGCACAATCAGACTTCAAGAAATATGCTTTATTGAATGTTTTAATAGGAGATAGTCCATGCATTTATGCTTAATTTGTCTGAAGAATTTTTGGAATACTCTAAACACTTCCTCTGCCCTTTACTTTCTTTGCGTCTGTCAACAGCCTCCAAGCCAGGGACCCATGGACAATTCCTGGGTTCATTATGGGTAACACACCTGCTAGGAACCTTCAGAAATGTATGGTAAGACCTTATTTATCTATAATTATATAAGAACACTTTCATTAGATTTTCAGTGAACCTTAAAATAGCAAATCTTTCTAAAAATATAGAACTTGAATAAAGAGAAAGATCAGGCTTTTAATCACCTATGGCATGTCAGGATCTTCACATTCATATGAACATATATGCTGTGTAATAATGAGACAGGTGAAATTATTTCTATTTCACCAGTAGGAACTTTTTTCTTTGCTTGCTTGCTTTTGTAGTGCTGGAGATTGAACCCAGAGCCTTGGCATGCTAGGCAAGCACTCTACCATTTAGCTTAGCTACATACTCAGTCTGGAATTTTTGAATTTGAAAAGTATAAATGGCTTCTCAAAGGAATTTACGTAAGTCAAACAACTAGTAAGTGACAGATTGGGTATTCAAACTCATATTCAGTTTTCTACAAAATGCATACATTTCTGTTAAAATCCATCTACCTCCCACAGATAAAATATTTAAACAGTTGCTTGTCTTGTGCATTTTTGTTTTTCTTTTATTGCCGACAAAAAAAATTCTGCAAAAGAAACTCTGTAATTGTGATTCAAGAAAATCCACAAGTTTTGACTATCTATATTTGCACTGGGTTTGGTTCACCCAGACCATTCCCAGCTTTTGTGACTTTTCAACATATTATCATTCTGTGCATTATTCAGGGAACATATTAATAAATCCATTCCACAAATGATTTTCCTGCCTTTCATTTTGTCAGGAATGGCACATTGAGGGTAGTATTTGATGAACATGGAGACTCTACTATCAATTGGGAAGCTTAGTGAAAGTCAGACCTGCAGGATGTGTGGCCTCTGGATTCAGACTAAAAACAAGGATAGGTACCATAGCACCTCATTTTGACAAGCACTGGGGGTTAAAGTTTAATTTACAATAGGATCTGCTTTGTAATTTTTATCTCTGTTTCACCTACTCCTTTGACCCTTATGATCCAAAGTCATTCCTATAGACCTTCAACAGGACTCAGAACATTTTGTGAAAGATCCCTTCGTCTCCTATCAGCAGGTCTTAGGGATTTTCCATCTGTCTATAAGTAAAGTGTGAACATTTCCTTTGCTTTAGGTAATGAGAAAAGATGTCATAAGTGATATAGCATCTCAAAAGTTGACTTCACCTTCATTTGTGCCTCGCTTTCTAGAATAGACTAGCAAATTTTCCTAGTTTATACTAATATCATTAAACACTGTAATTGCAAACCAAGTGACTTCTGGCAGTCACTAATTTCTTACATCAGTTACACATAAAGAGAACAGATGGAAACAGTTGCAACACTCAGAGGCTCCCGTATTTTTCTCTGTTAGGAGGCATAAGCACCCACGGAATTTATGATTCCTGATTTCACTACCTCCTGGATCTTACCCAAAGTCATATCTTTAGTGCTATGGCAGGCTCAGAAGTGTCTTTCATTTGCAGAGGAGATTTCTCCAGGTGGAGTAGAGTCGGAACCTGAAGACAGCCTGGCTCAGGGGGCCATGCTGGTTATGGCAATGGGGAAGGAATAACTGAATTTTACTCTTTCTGACCTCCTGTAGTTCCTGCTATCTATCTGTTCACACCTTGTTCCAGGTAGTGTGTTCCGATGCCCTGTGCTTTTGAATAATTTAACTTAGAATGAAACAGTTCAACCAGCACTTTCATCTAAAAGGTGAGAAGGGCATAGGGTGTTTTGAAGAGATACTTTTGTATTATAAAAGTATTGACCAGCATCAAAACATCAACTAGCATCTCTTGTTTCAGACTTGGGAGTGGAGTGCCAGATACATTCTCACCAAGAATGAGATGGTCTACAACTCCTCTTAAAGTGGCCACAGTGAAGAACACATGAGAAAAAATTTTAAATCGCAATAGTGAAGCCCAGGAGATTTGTCTCTGCCCAGAGATCTTAACTAGAAGAGGTGGTAGGATCCCTACCTGCTCCTTCATATGATGAGGAGAAAAGTGCCCTGGACTTGTTTTATATCAGTACTTGAACTTTGTAGGGTATCAGTCACTCTAAAAAAGTATATTTGGCTCTCTATTAGAATTGAGGCAGACCTTAAGAATCCTGCTAAGGCCTTGTTTGATTTGGTTTCATTTATTTTGTTTTCTAAAATCATAAAATAACTCTCTAATGACATAGCAAACTTTTGGCATGGCTTGAACCAGTACAAGTATTCCTGGCTTCCATCCTAGAATCCACATTTTTTTTTTCACACCTCATCTTAATGATAATTTTCTTGGCGAAAGCTTTTCCATGGTCCATTAGACTCAGTCAAGTTTCATTATTATATGCTCTCAGAATGGCATTCTTTTTCTTCACAGAACTTTTTATCATCTATTCATTATTCACTTATTTGGCGATTACGTGATCAATACTTGCTTCTCTCACTTGACTTTAAACGTCACGGAATCTGGAAATTTGTCTCTGTAAGTACTACCAAACTAAAAACAAGTTTTTCTCAGTAATACGTATTAAGTAAAAGTGTGAATTAACAATGCATTTTTAAACTTCTTTGAGCTTTGATTTGCCCATTTATAAAATGGTTATTGTTGTGTACCAGCCAATATTTTTAATAAATCATAGAGTGGATACTCAGTGTAGGTCTTACAATGCCTCAGTGCATGTCCACTGGAATACCTTTGTGAAAATTTTCTCTTTTAATAATTGCAGAATCACGGTGGAGATAAAGACCAAGCATCACTGGAGAACACAGACAACAAATGCACAGTTAGTACTAAACATTGCACTGTTATGTTTGTGGCTTAAAATACATGTCTTCCTTACCTTTTAAATTTTTTTTTTAATAAATAATGAATACAGTGGGAACAATGATGCAATATACTATTTATTAATTACTTTTTCCTAAAGAAATTAAGTAAAATAAATTTGGACAAGGATTTTCCCAACTTGCAATAACTAACTAGGAAAAAAAGATTCATTCTCCCTTTTACAGGTCCTAATGTCAAAAGTCTTGCATATATTTTCCAGCTTTTCCTATCTGTAAATGCATACACCAGACCAATTTACAAAAGAGGGTTTCATTATCAACTTTAACTGTATATTACTGGAAGAATTTTAGTCCATATATCTATTCTTCATTGTGAAAATCAAGCTACTAACTTGTATTTTTAATAAAATAAATATACCGCCTGATCTCTTACTCCGTTAGGCCTTAAGAAACCGTGCTTTCTAAGTTTTGAATCCTCTTTTGATAATAACATTTCCATTTATATAAATAAACACCAATAATGGGTTATTTCTTCTTGGCATGGTGGTGCATGCCTGTAATCCCAGCACTAAAGAGGCTAGGGTAGGAGGATTTCAAGTTCAAGGCCAGCCTCAGCCACTTAGTGAGACCCTGTAACAAAATAAAAAAAGAGAAAGGACTAAAGGTGTTCCTCAGTGGTAAAGGCCCTGGGTTCAATCTCCAGTACCCTGTAAAAATCCAACCAACAACAAAAAAAGTGTTATTTCTACAATACACAAAAATCATTTTAGGAAAACAAAATGCATGCAGATAATCTTTATTTTACTGGTCTTGTAAAGCACTCAAATATCTTTTATTTTCTACATGAAAAATTCAAGCAAAATTATCACTAACACAACTATTGAATTGGTAAAAACCAAGAGCAAAGATATGGTCACCTATTATGGAAAAGGAGCTTTGAAAAAATAATAAAATATTTGATATTATCCTTTGGTTCAATAATGATTAAGAATAATATGCTTAAATAGTTTATTGTTGAAATACTTTTAAAAAGTGAAGAAATAAATGAATCATCTAAACAACATACAAGTTTAGCATTACCCACCCACTTTTTATGTGTTGTATTTACTATAACTACAATCAGTAACTTTAACCCACTTTTCCTTGTATGGGACGCTATTAACTTGTATTACCTATGTCTCTAGTCAATTTAGTGAGGTCGAAAAAACCTTCTCTTGATAAGATTAAATCTGTGAACATTAGAACAAACAAATCCACTTTAATCCTTCAGGGCAATGAGACATCGTTTACTTAACAAATACATTACTTCAGACCCCCAAAATTAGGTTGAATTATGACATGAGCAAATAGAAATTTGGATTTGTAAAAGAATAAAGAAAGTCCTAGAGATGTGCTTAATTTTGTGAACTTAAGGGCAGTTTGAGTAGGTTCCTAATTACCTCCACATGGAAAGTGGCATCCCTTTATTACATGTAACTTTAAATTAAAGTTAATGAAGAGAAGGGAGAGGGGAGGGGAATAGGAAGGATAGTAGAATTAATCGGACAAAACTTTCCTGTCCTTGTATTTGAACACATGACCAGGGTAACTCTGCATCACGTACAACCACAAGGATCCTAATTAGCATAAGTTATACTTCATGTATATTACTGTACATTACTGGAAGAATTGATATACATGCAGTATGCCCAAACACATCCTACTGTCATGTGTATATCTAAAAAGTACAAATTAAAAAAAGAAGAAGAAAAAGAATTATAGCTAAAAGTTAAGACATTTGAAAGCAGAGCATCTCTGTTAAAGCCCTTTCCCCTCATTTTTCCATCTTCATCTGTAGAACTTCAAAACAAATCCTAGAGCACCAGGGGGAATATTCAGGGGTGAGAAGGCAGGGCTTGACAGCACCCACATATAATATGCGGACGGTGGAAAATTCCCACCTTTGATGAATACTAGGCCAGGTATATTGGATATAAAATGTGTGTTCGTCTATAGCAGAGAGTCCAGGTAAATCTTAATTTGATATCTGTTGGTAGGGCAAAGAACTGAGAACTCTTCAGTATTACCTGGGTTCTCCAAAGAAACAGAATCTTTCTTTCTCTTTCTGTGTTTCTACTTCTTTCTCCATACATATCTCGATTTGTTTTAAGAAGTTAACTCAAAGAATTGAGGAGACTCGGGAGGTCCACAATCAAATCATGTAGACCAGCAAGCTGTAGACTGAGACAGAAGTTGGGATTTGCATCCAAAGACAGTCAGCTGGCAGAATTCCTTGCTGTATGGTAAAGGTAAGGATATCAACTGATTGAATGAGGCCCACCCACATTATGGAAAGCAACGGGCTTTAAGCAAAGTTCATTGATTTAAAAGTTATTCTAATCCAAAATTGTTCTTACAGAAACCTCCAGGGTAATGTTTGATCAAATTTATAAACACTATGACCTAGTCAAATTAATGCATAAAATTAACCATTGCACCTATATCTTTTCCTGTGAAATTTGGATGATTCCTATGATACAGGAAGGTAAAGATAGTTGGTCACCTTATAAAATGTCTTTCCTTCTAAATTAAAATGGGGTCACTTTAGAAACCATTCAGTTGTTCTCCAGAAAAAAATACATATTTAATCTCAATGTCTTTAATTAAGTTTCGATTGTGACTATTACAATATTAATATTATAATATTAATATTACAATATGACTATTACAATATTAATATTACACTTTTTTTCTAAGCCCAAAATTAGCTTAGAAACGTGTGCTAGTGAGAGAAGCATTTGTGTTTCCAGAGAGAAAAAGAAGAAGCAAAACAGAAACTAATCACTGGAGAGAGTCATCCTGGGTATAGAAATATGGATATAGCTTATTGATTAAAGCAAATAAAACTCTTGTACCAGGGAAGAGGAACTTGCAGGAGGCAACAAGTATCTGACGGGATCATGGAAAGGGCATCCTAGGTTAAATAATATACTGATGAAAGGACATGACCTGCCCCCTGCCCCCAATTCCCACCTGACATTTCTCCAGTGTCTGGGTTATAGAGGGTTCACCCAGCCTAGAGAAGCCAATTTACTAGACTAGTGGAGGACCAAGGGCTGGAATTCACCAGATGGTAGGGAGGAGAAGAGATAGCATGAAACATTGCTGATACATAAACCCCTTCCTCCCTCCACCTGCATAGTAGGAGCTTCTCCGATGTTTGGATCTTGAAGCTCTTTGGACATAAAGGAATAGGCTAGAGATGAGACACTGAAACCATCCAAACACTTTGACAGGCAGCCAATTCTTATATCATTGGAGGGGAATACATTGCCTTAGCTTCACATGCATCAATGTAGCTACAAAGTAGTTTTGATACACGGCATCATTTCATCAACATAATAATTGGCAAACATTTATAATTTCCTTTATTTTTCCAGATGAAATTGTAAACTTGGATGCTAAATGATTTATTGAGCTCTCTCAGGAAATAAGTAGAAAAGTAGAGATTGTCTACATAGGTTTCAACATGTTAGTGACTCGATATGCTTCACTGAAAATAAGCCAGAGTTATGAATAATTTTGAAAATATGATTGTGTTATTGTCAAAGGGATCACCATCAGGAAAAAAAAAACCACTTTTTTCCATTGTTACCATATAAAGGCTTTTGTACGAGTCTTTTGTACCTGATCATTTTACTTCCAGATGTCTCTGCTTTTTTACTATTCCCTGATAAAATCGTGAATGTTCATCAGGTTGTATATTATGTATCATCAACATCCCTTTGTTCATGGAGAAGCTCTCTCTCTCTCTCATTTTATTCATCAGCAGCTCATGCAGTTAAAACCTGTGAAGATGGTTGTCAAAGTACGTGGAACAGGTATGTAAATCAAGGCCAAAATATGCATTTAGAATTGATCTCCATATATCTGAAAAGAACATATGCATCTCAGTATCACATCAGTTTCAACCTACAACCACCGCTACATGGCTTATGGTGAACACTGAAGATTTGATGATATAAAACAAGACTATGGAACTTCTAAATAGAGGGATGAGATTCCGTGTTGACTGAGAATGAATGAGGCTATTCTTGGGAGAGGGGTGGTTTATTTTAAAAAGAAATTGAGTAGTCTGCACATATTTACATTAATACATCAACCTTTTAACAATATGATTTATATGGTCGATGTTAGATTACTGCAATTAGGAATCCTGGTTTGCCTGAGATACAGTGTCAGAAGCTCTTTTCAGATAAATCTGTCCATAATGATGATTGACATTAGGAATGCTCTGGCTTTCTCAAGATTGGAGAAGAAACAAATAAAACCAAACCAAACCAAAACAAAAAATCGCAAAACATGAAGAAGTTCATTGTCCTTTTTCCAAATGATACTTTACTGGGTTGTTACAGTATCACAGGGGGAATAATGTTACTCCTTAGCTCTTTGGATTATAAAGTTATAGGACTTGACTTCAATTTAAAAGATGACATCCAATGGACTGTTTAATTACAATGGATTTTCTGTTTTAATTGTGAAGGAGGATACACAAAGGATTATCCTCTTGTAATATCAAAGGGCCTAGAGCTGATAATCTATTGAGCTAACATGTCTGGGTCTTGATCCTGTGGTCAGTGGGACTGAGCATCCCACTAGGGAGGAATCTTAATAGGCAGGAGAGAGGAAAGAAAGATTCATTTCTTCCTCCTGGTATCAGTAAGTTTACTTCCAACCATCTCCAAACTATAGAACAGGAACATAAACATGTAGGGAATTAAGAAGGCTGGAAAAAAATCACACCTTAAAGCACAGTTTTTGCCCAAGGCTCAGCATGTGTGGTAGAGAAACATGTAAACATTTCAACACTGATCTTCTTGCTGATGTTGGTTTTTCTCTTGTGTAATTAATGGCTCATTATATTTTAGCAGCTTTTCTAGGCAAAGTTCATCAGATATACTTTCTCATTTAATTTCAAAGCTCAGTCTATTACTGACATTTTGGAGACAAATAAAACGAGGCTGTGAGAGACACGAAAAAAGACTGAGGTCTCTCTGCTTCCTGGCTCAAGATGTGGGAACACTTATCCTACATGTGCTCCAGCCAAAACCTGATGCCCTCACCAGAACTGAATCAAAGCAGGCCTCATGCCTTTGAACCTCCAAAGCTGTGAGTTCAATAAACCTTTTCTCTTGTGAGTCAGTTTCCTCAAGTTTTTTGTTGTAGTTACTCAAAGCTGACTAATACAAAAATCCTTGTATTCTTCCCTAAAATGTTCCTGTGGTAATATCTCATATAGGTTTAATACAATATTCAGACTATGAAACTGACATTGGTAAGATGTTGTTAACTAAAATATGGACATCAATCATTTGCTAATAATTTCTTATTAATTGATATACATAATTATACATAAACCATATCATGATATTAGAAATCTACCTGGGAAATCAGCCTACCACAAAAGAAAAATTGCAGGTGATTTACTGATGAATTTCTGTATAAGAATACACCAAACACCAAGAAGGGATTTTCATTATAAGTACAATTGCAGAGTCTTAAGAAAAGCAGGTTTTAACAGTTGCGAATACCTGACATTAAGTAAAAATAGTCACATCACGGATCCAATTTTCTCTTAAGAGCGAGTGTTCAGTACATTCTTTAATATCAAGTGGTCAGTGCCAAGCTCATTTTACTTCCAAGTCATAAAGTTCAGAAGAAAAATATGAAAATCAATCAAAGTGAAAATACAGTGAAATAAAAATGTATAAACAGATATATATGTTTTGAATTGATTCCCTGAGCCATGCACAGGTGAACAACAAACATTTGAGGGTTTTGTGCACCATGGCTGAAGCCTCAGGATAAACTAAATGGGATAGAATCGCTACTTTCCCTATCTTCTTCAATAGCCCCAACCAACAGGAATAAATAGCAAAAAATAATTCCTGGAATAAAAAAAAAAAAAAGAGCTACTCAATTAACCTTAAAAAATAAAAAAACAGAATTTATCTGTATTTTATTATTTTCAGAAAAATAACTTTCAGACTAGAAGAGAAAAAAAAGAGTGTATGCGCATCCTGTATTTTCAGCACTGCTAAATAGTTACTCTAGGATTTCTGCTATTGATGGGAAGATCCCTATTAGTCAGTAGGTTATGTTTTTTAGGAAACACTTTCCAATATATTGGCCCATAATGATAGCACTCAGAGGAAAATAGATGTTTTATAAAGCACTTCTCATCCATTGGGAATTTTTTGAGGGATTAAGTGGAAGTGTGGAGAGGTGAAGGTTCACTCTATTGTCATCAATAAGGCTTAACAAGCTATTGGCTCTTCATCTTTACAAGACAAAAAGTCAAGAGGAATTGGATAAGGTGGGTTCTCTGTGGAAAGAATAATCTATCAGGCACCGATTTGCAGTATCAAGGTTTTGCCTCAATATAGCTATTTTTTTGTTTATGAAATCAACTTCTTCCTTTCTTTTCTTCATTTGGTTTTCTCCTCCTTCTTTCATTTGGTCTTGTCACTCCTCCCCTCAGATAAATGACTTTAGTCATTGTCATCAAAAACCCCATTACTATGTGTTCCTCTGTTCTCTTGATTATGTAGGTAACACTGTAAGGAGAGCGATTATGTGGTGTGGTCTCGGGAGTGCCCTGCTGCTACAGATAGCAACTGTTAAGCAGGTTGCTAGAACAAAAACAAAGCAAGAGTCTGAAACCTTCCTGCATGTCACATGCCCTGCTGCAATCTGGATCTCAAGACTAATGGTTCTTCCCTGGAGTGAAGTGGAGGGAAGGGGACAGATGTGGGCTTCCCATCTGTGTAACCATCATCTTACTGCAGGGCCTTCACATATCCATGGGCATCTTCTATTCCATTTTGATGCCTGAGAATTTCTTCTTCATATCTGGAATCTTATAGCCCAGCTCTCTTTCTTCCATGAAAAAGTCTCATGGGAAGACAGTTCAATACTAATTCATCTGAGAATACTGTTCAACATAATGTCTTATTATAAGAAGACCATTGACCCAATGCCATGAGCTTTGGATTCTAGTCCCAGTGGGTCACTTTAAGTTCTCTGTGAATTTGGTCCAGTTCTCAGTTGTCAAATGTATGCAACAATGTGCTTATCATAGTATTATTAAAAACATTAAATGATAAGATACATAGGAGTGGTTTAACTCAGAACTTGACACCATGGAGGAACACTCCATTGTAACAAATACTGTTTCTTCTTTGTCTCTTTTTCTTTGATTTTTTTTTAAATCTCCTCTAGGGAATATCACTTTGTCTGAACATTCCTTAAACTTTTCTCTCAGTTCCCATTTATCAAAAACTACATATAG